GGTAAATAGAGGTCCTGCCTTTCTGCCATCTATTATTAAGAACTTGACTTTTATAAACATGGTGGCAAATAGTATTCATTTTGTAGGTTACTTTTTTTTAAATGAGTATCTGTATCCTATTTAACATGAAAAAAAAATATACATATAGTTTTCATTTTTCATTAATTTTTTTAGTTGTTGATATTTAGATATTTTTAAGTTAAAAAAGTTAAACATTTAATTTGTTAAGTTAATTTTTAAATTTAAATCCGTTACTATATTTTTTTAAAAAAAAATTTAATTGCCACCAATAATCATTAATAACCTAATGATATCTTCCAATGATAATTTTTTTTTCAACTTTTTGCAAGGTAATATAATATATTATTAATATTAATTTTATATATAATATAATGAATAGATCTCGATAGATGTTTATAATTATCTTCCGCTTCAATAAAACACCATGCTTTAAAAGATAATTCTCAGAAATATACTAAAGCAATGTTTCTCTTAGAAACAGCTATGATAAGCTGCAGGGTCAAAACAGTTGTTATTGTTGTAATTTTGTCCCGATAAAACGAAGTAATACATGATTTACTATAAACTGACTTACATTTTTGCCACCCACTTGCTAAACCCATCGCAATTGCGTTAAAGTTGGAAATATTGTTAATTATAATTTGATAATTTTTTTATATTTATATTTTATATAAGTTTATGTATAAGTTAGAGCCAATGTGGGTTTTTCCCGGCTATGTGTTATTCTTTGAACTATAAATCATTTTTTTGAACGCGTTTTTTAAAATTTAAATATTTGATTTTACCTGAAATGTATTATTCCATCATGTTTGGAATACGTACCCTATGAATTTCAAACAATTGTTATGAGATTTTAAACTTGATATAATTTACATTCTAATAAAAAAAAATTGTCTATACCATAGGATAGGCATTCTAAACATGCTGAAATATATTTCCGGTAATCATAATTTTTAAATCTAAAAAAAATCGCGCTTGATAAATGATTTAAAATTGAATAAATAGCGGAGTCAATCAATCAAATTTTTTATATTATAAGTGGAGATTTATTTGTTAGTAAGAATATTTTAGGAGAAAAAGCAATTTTGACTCTTAAGGGTTAAGTATAAGGCCAAAAATTCGATCATTGAAAACATTCAATGTTTATTATAGGACCATCTTTGTACCCGAACATAGTGCAATCTTTATAATCATATACATACATAGCATCATTCTTTTTCTTATTAAAAACTAAGTTTGTTCTCCAAAAAACCGGAATGATATAACCATTCCGTGTTTTTCGGCCAAGAATCAAAATATGGGTTATAATTCCCTACTCAAACTTTCTAATATTGTTGTAACCTCTCATGGCAATATTAGAACCCCATATATTTTTCTAATTACATAATTTGTTTTTTAAATTATGTAGTATATAAATTATAACATCAACATATATGAGCCCGATTTTTTTATAATAAAATATAATATTATTGCAAAACGATAAAATCTTTACAAAGTGATAAAGTTATTGAAACATTTATAACAAATTAATATAAGTATAGTATATAAAAACATTGCCTGTTTGTTATTGATGTATTCTCGATTGTTATAAATTTTGTTAAATGTTTAATTCTTACCAATTTTCAGACTTATTTCAAAATGTTTTACACGCTTTGTGTTAAAGTGATTTTAAATTTGGAAAAATTATTTCCTCGGGGGAAGGGAGCATGACGCAGTTTCTTTATTCTAATTGCAATGCTAATAGAGGGTAGAGTTTAATTTTATGAGAATTTCCGCGAGATAGCTATAATTATTATTAAAATTATACATTATTTATAATATATATATATATATATATGTCTTACTCCTCCTATCCCCCTCATCCCAATTTTAAAATTTTATAGACACTATTGAACTCCATAAAAAAAATATACTAGCCTCACAAAAAGTTTTTATTACCTTACCATCATCTTAGGCATGTTCGGAAATGAGATCCTTAATTTTAGCAAAATCATAGATTAAAAAAAGGAGACAGATTACAAGCGACCCCAGCTAAGAATTCTACCTTCATCGGCACTCCTCTCTAGGGCGACATTATTATTTTTTTTAAAATGTATTTTATATAAAAATATTTTTATTATATTTATTTTTTAAATATATTTCATTTGCCGTTTTTTGTATTTCAAAAAATATAAGATTTGATAAATGGATAAAAAAAATTAAGATTTAAATTCGATGTTATCAAAAACATCATTGTTGACGTCAAATGAAAAATCGATAAATAGGGATAACTTTTATGTGTCTTCGATTTCGTTATTATCATCGTTTGCAACACAAAAATTTACTAGGCTCCTCCCCCCCCACCCCAAAAAAACATCCACCGGTGGCTATATTCTTCCAGAAACTACATTCTTAGAAAATCTACGGATATAAGTTTATTAGGATATGATTTTTATATATTGATACAACTAAAATTAATATTTAAGGATCTAAGCTGTTACAGGATTAATTTTTCAATGTTTTCCCAAATGATCGGCACTCATCATTTTATTTACTTGTTTTTTTAACCCAGCTTTGAACCCTTCGATAGGAACAGAGCCAGTAATTTTATGAATTTATGCAAAATAGCTAATACCCGCCCCGTTAATACCTTCAGCGGCCCTCAGGTTTATTTTAGGATATTGACCTATCATAGTTATTGTTAATATTCATATATATGAAATTATCTAAATATTAGTTAAAAAATTTCTTAAAAGTGAATTTTGGTTATGTCAAAATTTAAATTAAACATTTAAAAAATTTTACCAACAATTTTTCGCGAAAAATTTTCGATAATCATTTAAGCATCATAGTTAAATACATATTTTGGTTTAATTTTTAAATCTCAAAGTTTAATAGTTTTAAAATTATTTGAGAATAATTACCTACACTATCCTTATTATTCCTATCCCACCCCTCCTATATAAACCCTTTTGATTTTGCAGTATATTTCTGAACAAATTTCAGGTTTAAATAATCTTCAAATTACATCTGTGGATATCTTTACAAAATTTATGATTCAAAACATAGAATCGTTAAAAGTTTTCTTATTTAAAAAATTTATATTATTAAGATTAGATAAAGAATCATAAATTCTATACAAAAAAATAAAATATAAAAATTAATTATCATAAAAATATGGCATTAACTTTTAATCATGTTATCAGAAATTTTTTATGCGTTATTGGAAAGCAACTGGGTTGCCAAAAATCGCCGGAAGAATATGCGTTATGGTCGTATAGTTATATTAACAATAATTCTGAAGCAAATCCCATGCTTAAAGCATATTTAACTGAGCAGATCCTAAATGAATTATTAAATAAATCAACCAATTTTAATTGCACATTGGCTGACTGTATTCGCTCAGGTTATTTATCGTATTTTTAACCTAATAAATATTTCGTTGTTGACGCCCAATAACATTTATTGGGCGTTATCGCTAGTGAACTCAATATTTTAATCAAAAAAAATAAATAACATACTCATAGAAGACACAAAGGTTTGTACATCTAGTAGCGAAATTTTAAGGCTTTGGTAATATTTTATTGGCAACCTTTTTAAAATCGGCTCGAATTGTGCCATTTAATTATCGTCTAGTGATCTTTTTAGGTTCTAAGACTCAAATGTTTTTTTTGGCATCCCCCAATAGTTTTAAGTCGAACTATTATTCTATGGTTAAAAAAAATATTGGTGCGTTTATCTCACCAATTTATTATTGAGGTTGTGTTCAATTTTCAATCTCATCTTTAGAAGAACTTTTATATAATAAATCAACGAATTTAAACGCGAAATACTAATTTTTTCTTATCTATATAATAAAACATTACAAATTTTTTGAAGATAAGAAAAAAATTTTAATTTTCAAAATTTTTATAAATTTGCCATTTGTTCAAAAAAGAAAAAGGTTCACCTCTATGATTCTATATATATTTTTTATTTTGTAAAAAACAAAAAATATTTTTTAATTTATATTGTTTAATTTAGAAATATATCATCGATTTTGGTAAGCTTTTTTTTATATATAAATTATATTCTATATATCAAATGCTATATTATTTATCTATAACAAATTTATCTAGACTTATGCTACCCTGGCTGCTAGTCCTATCATTTAAATGTGTCACGAAGTCTTGGAGGATCGAGAATGCATTTATATTAGTATAAACTTTGAGTTATTCAATCTTAAAAAGTATTTGTATTAAGCATAGCCAGTAAAATAAGTTTTCTAAGATAAGGTCAAAATGATAAGTGAAGCGATAAATGACTAAAATTTGTTAAGAAGGTGAAGTCTTTCTTTTCTTCTATTCTAGAACTGAAGCGTATTCTAGAATTATTGAGCAAACAAGTAGAGATATAAGGATCATGTAAAGTGATAAGAAAATGAATTATAATTACTAGTATCTCATTTAGTTGGGACTAAATTGTTTGAAATGTATATCATTATTCCTCAATAAAACGGTATTATATCAACAGTTTGCAAATTTAAATCTGAAATGAATGGGAAAAAAATCTGCCTGCTATATAATATATAATTATCTTGATATAATAATATCACATAAGTTTTAAAAAATTTTATATTATAAAAAATTTAATTACATAAATGATATATATATATATAATAATATCTGATCCTATAATGTATCGTACTTATATTATATAAATATTTCTATTGATTTTTCCCTTGAAAGATAAAATTATTATATATTTTTTTTTTGGATGGCCAAACCATTTGGAATTAGCTTTATAATAAAATATATTTATTGCTAAAAAAAATAAATAAATGTATAGAAAAATGATAATATTTTTGAGAATGATATATAAAAGTTTGTTAATTATTCATCATAAATTTTTTAGATTAAAAAATATAATCGATATTTCAGTATTTTTTTTAAAAAGAGTTTTTTAGTTTAGAATCTATAGCCTAGAATCAAAAAGAAGGGAAGATACTTTTTTATTTCGCCTTTTTTCGTTTATTTTTCTCTTGTAAATTTCAAAAAAAAATAAAAATATTTTCACGAAAGTTTATAATAAAATCTTATTTATTTTTTTTCGGAAATTAAAAATGAGCGAAGAAGGAGGTGTTTCATTGAAGGAAAATTTATTGACTTATTACGACAAATTACAATGTGATCCCTGTTGTAATTCACTGTTAAAACAAAATTTTACGAAGGATGTTATCGAAGAAATTGGCAATAAAGTAACTAATTCGGGATGCACATTATCAGATTGTATAAAATCGGGTAACATTGATTGTTTTAAAAAAAAATAGATTTTATAATTATTTTCTTAGCTTAGAATGATTATAAATTCCAAGTATATTTCTAAAAAGAAAGTCTTGTGTGCAATTATTACTACTTTGACCTAACAATAGGGCTTTCCATTAAAATATTGGTTAGAGGTCTTTTAAACATTATCTTTATATCTCGAGGCTATACAAAGTTTTCTGGGCTGACCGGCTTCTGTCATCGAAGGTAACCAGAGGCAAAATAATGGACGAAATTTTGTGTTTAATATTCATAATTTTTAAAAAGTTTATAAAATCAAAAATATATTCGTTTTTTTTAAAAATTTAACATTATAAGATGATGCATAATGAGCACGAGTTATTTTTGATACTTATCGCTGTTTAGCTTAGGTAGGACTAGGACATCCTATTTTTGGTTAGTTTTACGTGTTTATGATATTGTCATTTTTCGTATTTTTTTCGTATTTTTTCTTTTTATTTCGTATTTTTTTCTTATTTTTTTTTTTTTAGTTTGGTATGTTCTTTTTAGTTTTTTTTTTCGTTTTATCTTTTTTTTTTGGTTTTTTTTTTATAGCTGGCTGTTTGAAAATGAGTAGAACCAGCACATAAGCATATAGCTTTTAAGATAATTACTAACCGTGAATTTTAAACATTAGCCTTGTAGAGTATTTTCTTTTTAAAGCTTGTGTGAAAAATGTGCATAATAATTGCTATAAATAGAGATTATTTCTAATGTTTAAAGTCAAAATCGCCTGAAATATCAGAGTGTAAAATATACTTTACCTCTCATTCATAGTTAGTACGAATTAGCGGTGCCGCGTATTCGTGCTAACTGTGAATGAGAGATTACCCTGCATTTACCGTTTATACTCTATTTTTGTGTATTTTTATATAAACTTAGCTGCGAATTCGTAATAACTGTGAATGCAGGATTACACCACTTGCTGTAATATATTTACGGTCAAATCAGAGTTTTAAAAAGTTAAAAATCCCGCTTAATAAAGAATTTAGCATTAGAGATCCCGATTCCTGATTATTTTAATTCATGTAAGCTGGTTAATTATTATTTATAATTAATTATCTTAAGGCTAAAAATATGCATTAACTACTAGTTTTTATTTTTATTTATTTTTTTTAAATAAAGGATATAATTCTTTCAATGATAATCTCTAGGTGTCGAAAATCCTGATTCATCTACTGGAATATATGCGGCAGATGCAGAAAGTTATACCCTTTTCGCACCATTATTTAGACCGATCATCGAAAAATATCACGGATCGATTAAGCACCCATTTGTCGACTTTGGTAATCCCGAAACGATCAATTTTGCTAATTTAGACCCAACCGGTGAATACATTATATCCACTCGTATCAGAGTTGGTAGAAACGTTGAAGGCTATCCATTTACTGCCACGATTAGTCGAGATGTTTGTAAATATAAATTATTAGTTTTTATTAATATTTTAAAGGTTTTATTTATCGAAATAAATTTGAAAAATTTTATTATGACACAAACTCAACCATTAAAATATACGCTAATTATATATACAGCAACAAGAAGCGCTGGAAACAAAAATTAAAGAGGCCTTGACGCATTTTGACGGGGATTTAGAAGGAACATATTGTCCCTTACCTGGAATGGACGATCCCACCAGAGATCAATTAGTTGAAGATCATTTCTTATTTCAACAAGGGGATCGGTAATTATATAGAAGTTATTTTATAAAAAATGTATGACATAATTTATTATAAAATCCATCTGTTTTGAATATGATAATTTTTTTTATATGATGCATATTAAGCTTTCTGCAAAGTGCCGGAGGGTATAGAAATTGGCCACATGGTCGCGGAATATTCTTTAACAAAACGAAAACATTCTTAATATGGATCAACGAAGAGGATCATTTGAGGATTATATCTATGGAACAGGGCGCCAATTTTGACTCCGTATACAAGCGGCTGATGAGAGTAAAACTTAAAAAAATAGATTGTATATATTTAATTAATATAAATATTAATATTTAGGGAATAAAAATTTTAGAACAACACGTATCCTTCTATCGAGATGACGAATTGGGGTACCTAACGTTTTGTCCTACGAATCTTGGGACGACGATTAGGGCTAGCGTCCATATTAAAATACCTAAGCTATCTTCGCAACCAAATTTTAAGGAGTTTTGTTTGGGATTAAATCTTCAAGTCAGAGGTTAATTGTAATAATATTACGCATTTAAAAATAAAAAAAGGTTAATTTATTATTTATTTATAAAATTATAAAAGGTACACACGGAGAACACACCGATACGAAAGGCGGTGTTTATGATGTATCGAATAAAAGAAGAATGGGTTTGACAGAGATAGAAGTTATAAGAGAGATGTATAATGGCATAACACAAATTATCGAAAAGGAAAAATCTCTGTGATTCTGTTATTTCATTTTTGGCCTGCCCGATGTTTTGCACTATAATAGCTCCATTTTAATGTTTTGTGATATTTTTTTTAGTTAATCTTTATATAAGGCACCTTTTTTTTTGCAAAGAATTATTATAATATCTTTTATATAGCACTTGTTACTTTTTTTAAACAAATAACACAAAAAAAAATAATTAAAAATGTTCGATCACTTTTTTTCTGAGTAAAAATATGAAGAATAAAAATAATAAATCGTGAAAAATTTTAAAAAAATTATAAAGTTTACTCACTTACATAAATGTTCCAATAATTTTTTTATAAAAATATATAGATTTCTATATGTAGGGAACAAAGTAATTCAATATTTTTAAATATATCAGTATATTGAGAGAAAGATACATGGCTTAAGTCTAAATATAGATACATTTTAATTTACTATACTTTTTCGATACAAATTGGTACTATAATAATAATGTAAGGAATGTAAAGATTGAGAAATGTAGTGATGCACATTGATTGTACTTCTAATCGTTTCAAGAAGGATCTTCAACTATTGTCATTATTTTAACTTTCTAATTTTGAATAATATATTTTGAGGATTTTATGGGAAAATTATCAATTGATTTTGCTATTGAAGACAAAGAACATAGATGAATAATTTCTTTGTATGATTTAGCCTTCTGATTATGAAATTCTATTAAAGATTAATTAAAAATTTCACACTATATATAATAACGTTTTGAATAATTATTAATTACCTTCGGAAGACACAAAAATATTTAATTAATGTAAATGTTCCTTTTATTTCGAATTATTATTTTAGCTTTGTATATTGACTAAGGAAATTTAATAATTTAATTGATTTTAAGTTTATCTCTTCGTCATTTGAGTATAAATATTATTATCTAAGTCAAATTTATATAATTTTAATAAGAATAAATAAGCACTATATCTTCTTCAGTAATTTATTTTATCAATTTTTTTATTATTTTCACCTATTTATTTATTGATACTCTTTTCAAAGAATTTATAAAGGATAACTTAAATTAATCTATCTCTACTACCAACTATCGATATTTTGTCAATTAAACCCTCCATTATTTCCAATGTATTAATTATTATGGCATTAAGAGCTTGCTGAAATATCTAAACCTTTTAAATTATTTAAAAGGATAGTTTATTTGGGAAACAATATGTATGATTGTTTGCAATATATAGATTTGGTAGATAAATTGTATTATAATAATACTATAATAAAAGTATAAATTTTTACAGCATTAAATTTTGTCCTAATTCATCTCAAAATTTAATAGATAACCCACCAAAAAATTTATCCTACCCCCATTAAAGCAGCTTACCCCCTACCCCCTCAAAAAAATAGGATGCAAACTGTTCCTACCCCTCCCGCTCATGTAGACGCTGAGTCAGCGTTAAGTGTTATCGAAGGATTAACAATAAAATTAATAGTGGAAAATTATCGTTGATTTGATTAAATAGGACTTCCCTGTTATATTAGGTTTTGGAAATTATTGAAAGACATACATGAGAGGGGGAGGTAAGAGACTTCCGCCTTAGGATGTAAGGGGTATATCCAAGTAAGTAGTCTTTAACCAGACCAAAATTAAATATTTTGTAAATTGCTGGAAAATAATTAGCTAAAGAATGTTCATACGATTAAATATATACAATGTTTATTAGTATTCATAATTCATATTTAATTTATTATTAAAATTTGGATCGAAATATACATTTTTAGGTAAAATTCTATCCAAATAAGCAATATTTGCAATTGTACCCTCTCCCTTAGCAATGTCTTTCCGATATCAATAAAGATTTTATCTGAACATTGTAAATATAATCTATATATATATTATAATAATATTTTATTACAAGGTAAGTTATAATAATAGTAAAAAAAAATATAATATTAGTAAATCACAATTATATAAAGTCATTAATTCTTGCTATTTTTTATTGATTGAGATTCAAGTTCCCTTTTAGCGTTAACATTATAATAAGCAGCAAAATGGCCAAAGTCTATCCTATACATAGTGTTCAATTAGAAGGTTTTGGATATTGAAAAAATAAAGCTGAGATAATTGTATTTTACTATGTTTATGGCTAATCTTTGGCGTAGGTAGAATCCCTCGTTGGGATCCTCGGTCCTAGCAGAGATCCATTTTCCCAGCTCTTTAAAAGGCCAGGGCATGAGAGCCGAACTACGTTAGAGTCCGATTAATGGTAGGAATTTATAATTGGCGGGAAGAGATAGCGAATATTTAGTTAGTTTATTCGCCTCGGCATCTAGTAAGACATCTCCTTTTATATTGGAAGGGGCAAGAGGATCGATGCATGATAAATCCCAGGTTAGGAATTCCCCTTCTTCCAAAGAATCATAGTCGAACCATCGGGCTCTTACCATCGGAATTGAAAATGTCGGTAGGTTCGAGGGTTGATGGGATGCCGATTAATTTTAAGGCCCTGGCAAAGGTATCATTGCATTTTGATATGCCTAATTAGTCTGCCTCTACACCTCTACAGCGCTTGCAGTGTTGAGAGTGACGGCCTTTGGAGGTGACCGACGTTTGATAGAGGATACAATTATAAGGCATTACCATATCGCAATTAAGTCTAAAAGATATGGCGTGACGTAGTTCATCGTTGCTTAGGAGCTGGTCAGGTTTTAAGATGGGAAAGCCTCAAGAAATTCGTATCCACTTCCTGCGGAAATTGAGAAAAGTAGAGAATGGTCCTTTGGTTGGCTCCTCGATTTAAGGAATGCAACGAAGTTGCCAACTAGAGGTTTATACCAATCCTTCTGTAGTGTCGACGATGGAGGATCGACTAATGAGAGGGACTTCCATAGATCAATTGCCTAGTGGAGTAATGGGTCAGGATGTTTGGTGAGTGTTTGTATGATTTACTCGCAGGACAGGCGATCGGATATGACAGCACTAATGGAACTTATTGAAAGTGATCTTATGCCAATGCCGCCGGATTTGGTTGGTAAGGTAGCCTGTAACCATGATAATTCCCCAAATTTAAGATCGAGTATATCTTATGTAAGGCGTTTCATCTCCAGTTCGTGTGCAGCGAGGTTGACGTCATATTGAAAGATCCGTGACAATCGGAGTGTATATAAAATTCTTGGAATTAGAAGGTAGTTCTTTAATAAGAAGAAAGTTTGGTGAGCTGGGAGGCTAGATAGTGTATCGCGCATAAAAGATATCTCTCGTATGATATCGGCAAAGAACTTGATATAGGACTCGTCTTTACCTACTGGAGATCCGAGATGAGTTAAAGCGTTCAATGGTGTATGATTGAACATAGTATCGCGGTTAAGGTCAATGATCCCAAGTGAACAATATTCGCTTTTTTCTTGATTAACTCGAAGAGTCCCAAACTTTTCTCGCTGGATTTTATTATTTGGATTGCCAACATAACTTCAGTCGTTGAGCCGCCTAGTATACAATCGTCGATATACCAGTTATGAAGATTTAGCTTGCAATGGTCATTAATGTCTCGTATTAGACTATTAATGCACAGACAGATCAAAAAGGAACCTTAAGGGTCACCTTGTTTTATCCCATCGCTTATTTATTTTTTATATTAGTTAATTTTGCATCGATCAGAAATTTAAAGGATCGTGATCGTGATCGCGATCCTTTTTTTAAAAAAAGGGATCCTGGATTTAGATTTTCTTTTTTTAAAAAGATTGTAATCGGGATAGGATCTTTTTAAAATGATCGATTAACAAGCCTGATTATTTCATAGAGTAAAGAGATGGAGGGTATAAATATAAAGCGTAAATTGTAAATCGTGCTAAAAAATTTCTTCAAAATTAAAATAACTCCCCAGCTGTTGTATTTGATTTCACCACTTATATGTTTTAATTTAATTTCGAAATATAAGTATCTTGTTATACGATCATTTTATTATTAAATATATATATATATATTTTAATTATAATATTCTATATATTTCTTAGATTGTACAATAAACAGTTTAAATACATATTGGTTAAGTGCAATTTTTTTGTAATGCGAAATATGAATCATTTTGTAAATATTGCTAATGAGTGTGTCTTATAAATTCATGCCGAGGTGAGAAATAAAAGATAAGTTAATAATGTTTTAAACATATTCATCTTATGCTAAATCATATCGGTTGATTGCAAATAATGAAATTTATTTAGTAAAACTTCCTTATTAAAATTTTGATCTATTCTAGTTATTTTTTTATGTGATTATTCATGTCTTATCACACGATGCCAATATTTAAATGAAGTTGATTTTTATGTTATAATACAATCTATATGAATTTCAGAAATTAATTTAATATGAATATCATAAATTAATTAAACATCTCATCTAGAGTATAGTTTTATTGATGTAAAAATAATAAAATGTTTTAAAAGGATAGGGATTGTGGACATATTCAAACATACAATTTTTAGTTAGTTGAATAGCGAATATAAAAAATATTTACGAAATCAAGAAAATATCATTTTTGGATAAGTTTATCATATCATGTGGGCTAGTTAGTCTAGTCAATAAATGATTTTCGTATTTTAACAGAAGTTATATATTGTTGATTGATATTAGATAAGATAATATATGTAATCTAGAAAACTAATAAAACAATTCCTTAATTAAAAAAGTAGCCTTTAGTTTAATATTTTTATTTTGTTTTACATACTGTAAAATTTCACACTAGCACATACAGATACAACTGACAATTCAAACAGGTTGCGTGATGTCAATCTTTTAAATTTAGCAAAAGTCCATTAAATTTAAGATAATGGAAACTTTACTTGAACAACAGAGGAGGTATCATGAAGAAAAAGAAAGATTGATGGATATAATTATAACTGAATCATTAAATCCTAAAAATACAGTATATTTATACAAAATTTATTCTATTAAATTACGTTAATTATATAAAGATTAAAGACCAAATTAATTCAGATCATAGGATAAAATATATGCAAGATAAGTTAATAAAAGTTACGAAAGAGCTGAAAGAATTATATGAAGATAAAGATGGGTATTTATATATATTATTTATTCCAATATTTTTGATAGATTAAGGAAAGAAGAAATTAAAGTTATGTCAGGTCCAAAAGCCTTTGGACAATTTTATTCTCGTCTGAAATTAATTAAGGATTTTTATAAAAATTATCCTGCTGAAGTATTTTTAGTATTATATAATGTGTTATTAATTATATATGCAGATAGCAGTGCCAATGTCTGTTGAATATCAAACAATTTTACAAACTCTTGATAACCCTATTGAAAGTACAATATTCTTTTAAACAATTTTTATATGCTTGATTAGCTGATGTTAATTTTACTGATGAAGAGGGCAAAGGAAAATATTTAGATTTACATAAAGCTTTTGAAATATATCTTAATATTAAAGGAATACAAGTAACCCCATTTTAATTTGAGATTTTATTAGTAAATTTAAAGTTAAAACTTTAATGATAAATTTAAGAAATAATATTTTGATAACAATCATAAATATATCATCTTAAAATTTTATAGTCATAGTATTTTTTAAATTAATATAACACAAATTGATGATATCTGTTTATCTTGAAAGATCTTTTAGTATTTTTAGGTTAAATTTGGGCATAAATCTTTTCTTCAAAAAAAATCAAACATTATTGACAAAATTTTTTTAAAAAATTACAGCTGATACCTACAATTTTAACTTCTAATAATAGCCAGTACCCAAAATCATAACTAACCTAAAAATTTAAAATGACTACATTGCAATGAATAGAAAAGAAATTATTATTTCTTTTTAAATTTTGTTTCAGAATTAAATTTATTATTAAGCATGAGTGTACAATAAATAAATGACTATAATAATTCATAAATAGGCATTTTTATGGTTAAATTTTTCTCTATTTAATGACAGTTTTCCTGGATTACCTAGATGAACCAGTTTTCCCTCTGATCTTTCTTCATTTTTTATAGTCTTGGGCATAGCTATTATCCACTCACCAATCAGCTTTCATCTTTTGTTCAACATGCCCAAATCACCAAATTTATTTTTTCTCATGACCACTTTAATTGTCTCTTTTCTAATTCTTGCTTGTTTTCTATCCATCTAAATATTATCATCTCCTTTCCTTCAAATTTGCCTTTGTGTGCCACTTTCATTGTCTATACACCACTATACAATTTCTCACAGAGCTAATGTAAATTTTAGCCTTCAACTTCAGTTAGATGTTTTTATTTTTAAAATAGATGACATCTTTTGGAACTTCTAGCAGATATATCTACCCTAACAGCTGAGTCAACACCTTCATCTACATTTAGCATGTCACCCAAATTATAATTGTTTTTCTTTAAAGATTAATTTTATATGATATTGGCATAGACAAAAAAGTGATATCAGGTGTATTTGATATAATATTTTTTGTTGTGAAGTTTACTATACCAATTAGGATAATAAATTATTAGCTAATTTATTTAGGGATATTAGTATTTATATTGTTAAGATTTTCTATCTAAATTAATTAATTTAATTGGACTAATTTAGTTAAATATATATATATGCCGTATTGGGATATGGATTTTGTTGAGATTTTAAATCTTAACTCAAAGTTTAGAAATCTTTTTTTAAATATAAAATATTAATTCTAACCCATCATGCATAGGGCTAATCCTAGCCAATACAAGTTAGTCTTTTTTTTAGCCAATTTAATTTGTCTGTCCAAAATATGCCAACTAATTTGGCACATTTATGTTCTATAAAAAATTTTTTCTTCAAAAACAATTTTCAAAAATAAAATTCAGATTATAGTTTTATCCCTCTTATTCTTATTATTGGATAAAATACTCGTGATTCCAAAATTTCCAAAATTGATCACTAATTTTATTAAGGTATTTTTTGGGTATGTGTATTGGATAACATTAATGAAAACCAAATTCACAGCTGATTTCAAGGATTATATGGAAGATATATGATTTGTCAGCTGGCTTGATAAAAAATCGCAATCATTTATTGATGGACGCTTATCCAGGAATTTGTTATAGAGGGGAATAATTTTTTTTTTTTTAAATGACTTCATAAATTTATTAGTAAGTATTCTAATTATTTATAAAAAAAATTTACAGTTTTTAATAACTTACCCTGCGAAGCATTACAATAAAAATACTAAATATTATAAATAAATTTTCATTTTTTGTTTTTTATCCCCCCCCCCCCCCATTGATAATAAATAATAAAATTATACAATAAATAATATATTGTAAAGATAAGTTCTTTATGTAATCATTTTTAGACTAACATTATTAACATTTTGATCAGACAAAACAAAAGCGCTTACGTTCAAACATAACTTTCGCTGTGCTAAACATGTTCACCTGGCGTGGAAAAATTTTAATTTGGAGGAGTTTATTAAAGATATTTATTTTCCAAAAAATACTTATTAGATTTGTTTTCACATCTGAATTCATATTTATGCCTTCCTATTCCCTCGAAAAAGGGTAACGACGTTACTTTTATCGATACTCTACAGTACAAGTATTTTTATGTTTAAAAAAAGATTTCGAATAAAAGGTAAGGATTCGAGATCTCCGCATTGAAATTCGGAACCCTAAAATAATTCCAAATCCCAATACGACAATTATAATTGCTTATAGAAATAACAACCCTTAATTCACATTTAGCGCGAATTCGCGGCAAAAGAATGCAAATAAAATCGAGCATATTCCTTGTAAATTGTCATTCGCGCTAAAACCATGAAAGAGGGATAAGTTTTAGTTATTTGAATTATTTTTTGGCCAAAAAGTTTTTATAAAAATATTATACCAATTTTAAAATTTTATATGTCAAAAAAAAATAGCCAATGGATTATGTCACATTTATAACAAATTTCGACAAATTTTTTGACATCCCACTGGAACTTAAAAAAACCGAATACCGAAAGTAAAAAAAAATAAAACTTAATATTTATATATATATTTTGTTATATAAAAAAAGTTATCTCGTCTTTTTGTTGGAATATTTTACGGATTATTGTAGCAAAGTTTATCCTTTGTTGGATGTTCAAACGGTAATCTATTTATTTTAATTATTTATTTAATACCCTTCCTATTCAAATCGTATTTATTTATTTTTTATATTTATATTATATATATATATATAGGAACTAGGAAGTGTGATGAAAAATTTCGAGATTGAATGGAATAAAGGATCGTTTCCTGGATGGCCTGTATAAAAAAAATTATTTTTTTAAAATATATAGATGTGTCATAGATTTAGAAATGTAAAGAACATGTGTGATCTCGACTCCTGTCCGATCCTAGATCATCTTTCTTTGGATCGGGTCGGTTCTTTTAAAATAACCAATTCTTGAACGTCTTCAAGCCGATTCAATATATTATTAATGCTTTTATTTATAGGTTTTTTTTAAACATTTCTTTCATTTTAAAAATTACGGCGAAATTAGTAAGTGTAAAGTTAGTTACAACACGAGATGAGAAGAAAAAAGTGGTGCTCTAAGAATAGTGTTGGTAAAACGGCTGGCTCGATTTGAGCCTATTTTTAATAAACGGCTTACTCAATATTTTATCCAGAAAAATATTGCGCGAGCCTAAAGATCTTGCTCGTTTTAATCAGCTCAAGTCGGGGACCGTTTAGCAACCGTGATAATTACAACACGAGACATTTAAAGAAAAAAGGGAACCCTAGAATGAATAAAATATTTAATACTGTTGATTTAATTCGTATTTAAAAAAGTTAATATTTTATGATTTTTTTGGGATCAGATACCGAAAGTTTAAAAAAAAAATTAGATATTGTACATTTCTGCTCGTAAAGATAGAAATGTAAGATCCTAAGGACTGAGGCCTTTTTATTAAAGAAAAAAAAATGGATTCATTTTTTAGAGCATAAAATATTCTAATATCTTCTTCTGTCAATTCTATTTTCAAACGGAAGTGAGGGAGAAGAGGAAGAAAAACGGAGCAAATCAATATCCTTAAATGGACGGGTCTTTTACGTGGTGTTGTTTAAACGGCTCGATTTGAGCTGATTTTTAAAAATGGCTAACTCAATATTTTAGCCAGAAAAATATTGCTTAAATCTTGAGATTTCGTTAATAGACGCCTAAACCTTTGTGCGGTGTTTGACCTAAATCTTTAGGCCTATGTAGTATTTTCTTTCTTTCTTTCTTTCTTTCTTTCTTTCTTTTTGATAAAATATTGAGTTGGCTGTTTTTAAAAATCGGCTCTAAATGAGCCGTTTGACAACACTACTTTTACAAGCCCAACATTTAAAGAACCAATCTCGTCATATTTAAGAAAAATATAATCCCCGAAGCTTTGACGAAATTTACGACATATAGGAATTTTTAAAAAATTTGATGTTAATCAAACAGAGAATTGTCAGATGTCACCATCGTATCAGAAACATCTGCGAAATGGGAGATTTAAGTCGAGTTTCTCAAATATATTTTGATCACCTCACCCAAAAAGTGTTATACCCTTTCTCACGAGAAATCCTGAAGAAAATGAAAACATTAATATTCCCTCGTCTTAGCTAGTTTATGAAATAGGTAATTCGTTTGTTCGAGGCATTTTTAAACGAAAATTTTAAAATTGTTTGACATCTATATTTTTCAAGTGGTCTTACTCTTACTTACTTATTAGAAGATCAAGATGTAAATAAATTAAGAAAAAGGGCAAAGAAAATTTATGTTTGAAACAAAAGTAAACTTTTAAAAGACTTTTTTAACTCGATTTTTCAAGGATGTTGTAAATGATTGATACAACCATTCATGAACTTTTGCCAGATGACAAAACTTACCGTTCATTTTTCTATATATTAATTTGATAGGACCCACTGTTAAAGCATCCAAAAAAATAACGTAATGGTAAGCATGTTTGATAAATAAGCCACCTTATATCTGATATGTATTGATGTATTGTAATTATAAAAGTTTTTTTTTCAGTAAGTCTTCAAATTGCATATTGTAGCAAAGAAATATTTAATGGTATAGTAATTGGAGATTATGGTAAATAATAATATTCAATTTAGTTTGCTAATTATAAATAGGGAAAAACTGATAAATAGTAGCGATAAATCTATCCTTGTCACATAAATTATATTAAAATAATAAACAATCCACAACCATGTCACTTACCAATGTGATATGATAGTCCCTTAGGTTTTTATAAGTTGATGGGGCATATCCTCTTAAAGAAAATATTATCACTCCATTTAGTCAGCGAGGTCATGTTGATATGACACCTTGGATCCAGAATTATAACAAAAGGTTCTGCAGCACATTCATCAGGGTAAAATTTGGATGCCTATATAATCCTATAACTACAAAAGTAAGCATTGCAGTAGAAATTGTTAGAGCAAGGATAATTATTCATATTATACTAAAAGACATATCAAGTGATAATAATATCACAATAGTATATGAGGAAATCGAGCCATTAGAATCAATTAATTACACTTATAATGATAATTTACAAATATTTAACAAATTTTCCGAGCAAAAATTTGTAGATTTTTTTTTCAAATCCATCAAAAAATGCTTAAAATTTTTCTATACGATAAATATGATACTATAATTTATAGATTTATATATAATATTATAGTACACATTTCTCAAATATAAATTGTGATAGATATCATTAAAATATACCATGTAAAAATTTTAAATAAAGAATTCGAGGTATAAGTTATTCTATAAATACATCAGGAAATTAATTCTATTAATTTTAAACAATTTTTCTTAAAATCTAATCTTTTAAATTACTAAATTGTGATTAATAAGGTTTTAATGATTTAACAATCCATTATCCTCTTCTGATTCAAGAGTTTTTATTTCTTCTCTCCAAATCTATGGTTAGGAGATATCATTCCCATTTGTAATATCGGCTAATAATGATGCCTGATTCCATTTCTTGAAAGTTGTAATAAGTGGTGCCACTCTATTAGCGGATCTATACATGTGATAGGTGCAAAATATAATTTAACGAGTTAATAATTATTATTTTCATAAATATTTAGAACAAACCACCAAGGTTACCAAAAAAGTGAAAATTATACAATTCTTATAAGTGTGGGAGAGAAAGAAATATGAAAATTAAAGACAAATTTGAGGAACTTTTGTTAAATCTTTGAAACCTTATTAAAAAAAATTAATTGAATTTCCAGATATTTTAAATAAAATTATTCATTTAAAAACTTTGATCAATATATTTTAATATTTATTTGACCCGATACACCGCAACGATTCAACTCTTGAGTCGAGTTATCGGGTTGGGTCAGTTTGAGAAAATGTTTTCTTTTTTATGGATCGAATCTGGTTGGGTAAAAAGAGAAGATGACGATAAATTGTAATCGCCTAAATTAAATGATTCATTCAAAATATCATTCATTCATTTTATATTGATTAATGACCTTAAAATATTTTTCCTTTTATCAGATAAGTGATCAAGACGACAAGCAAACGCTCGATGACATGAGTATAGATTTGAATGCCTATTCATCACCGGAAGTTACTATTGTTTTTTTTATCCTTTACGCTGTACTTATAGTAGACGCGATTCTTTCAAGCGATGCGAAATTAATCGCTAGCGGAATTCACAATTAAAATATGCGTAGTTGCGATTTTATCATTTTCGCTCAGTATTTATAAATTATATAACTATTGTTAGCTTGTGAGCGAATCTCTACTATAAACGCAGCGTTAGTTTATCTTTTCAGTCTGAGGACCAGAACTTTCATCGCCATTCTTGATTTTTCTTTTCGCCACCATTTTTATCAAATACTTTAATTTCCTCTTTTATATTCGGAATTTACCGGATATTGAAAATAACCGGAAGTTCCTTTTATATTTATCCTTCTGGCTACACAATTTAAATAATTATTTTGATCTTTCATGTTATCCTAAATCTCTCTTTACAATTATGTAATATATTTAAGTACTCCTTAAAATCATTTATCAGAGTCTTTACAGAATTATTATTTTTGAGGCCGGGGGTGGGGGTGGGTTTGGTTATAGGAAATTGTGTTAAACCTTTTTATTTCATGTCATTAAAATTTAATTAATATATTTTGACATATAATAAATATGTTTATCTGCTAGGAACTTGCTTCTTTGGGATTGGATCGATTGAAGGATACATTGAAAGCCCTAAATTTGAAGTGTGGAGGGTAATTTTATTATTATTATTACTATATTTTTTCGTCAAATTAAAGGTGTAAAAGAAAGAAAGAAAAAATAATTATCTATAATAATAATTTTAATAAAAAAATTTCTGTCATCCATCAATTAAATACGTCAACTATTTTGAGTATCGATTAATTGATACCAAATATTCAAAAAAATATATAAGAGATCATCCGATTAGAGTCTAACAAATCTGCTAGAATTCCGACTTAGGCCTCATTTATAGTAAACCCGTCATTTTGAAGCGTTGTGTTATTTAACGCATCCTTGTTAACAAAATCAAGTCGATAAATAGGTAGATAAAAATTTGAAAAACGTCTGTTTTTACGTATATTTCAAAAATTATTAACGCTTATGAAGAATCAGCTGGGATTTTGATAGCGTTAAATAACGCGACGCTTTGAACATAACGCGTTTATTATAAATTGTAGTCTTATACTTAACTCTTTTTCTTAAAAAAATAAGATGGTCAGTTAGGGGCTTTATAAAAAAAAATATAAAGTGAGATATCATGTTGTCTACTCGTTTATTAGAATAAAAATGATGGATTATAATATTTTGGGAAAAGGAAATTCATGATTTTTTTTAAAAAATTTACAAATTTTAGGTTGGACCTGGCGGGAGGGGGGGGGGTTTAAAAATAAAAATTCTGGGTAGCGGGTAAAAAAAATCTAAATTGTGCAAAGGGCTTACATCCGATCCGATACTATTTTTAAAAAATCGCTATTAATACACAGTAGTTGTTAAAAGTCCCGATTTGGGTCGATTTTTAAAAACAAGCCCTATTGAGATTTTAGCCAAAATAATATTGTGGTAAGCCTTAAGATTTGACAATTACGAAGCCCAACCCTTTCTGCCATCTTTGAGCAAAAATTACCCATGCTTACACAATATTATTTTGGTTATAATCTTAATCGGGCCCATTTTAAAAAATTTACCCGCAGTGGGTTTTTTAACATGACTTAATACAAATTAATGTTATGCAACGCAATATTATAGAGCATTTAAAGAATTAACCATTATATATATTATATTTTTTTAAATAAATAATAAATTCCGATATACAGAACTTTGGAAGAAAGATCTAAACGTCTTTTTAGCGTGAAAGGCAAGAAGACCGAAGATATACCCGCAGCCTATTTAGCGAAGGATAAAAAGCACTCTGCTACTCTTAAATTTATGTATTCACAAAAAAAAATTTTTTTTGCCCTAAATTACGAATAAATTCTTATTTTTAATATGATTTGTTTATTAGTTTTATATTATTAAATTATACGCATAATTTTAGCGTTTATTCTAAATGCAATCTCAGCTATAATATGTATCTTCTTTCTTTTCTTTTAAAAAAATCAAATAGGGACAAAGACTCCCAGAAAGAGATGGCCAGTATGGAGGCTAGATTGTACTATTTTGTGGAACTTTTTGGAGTAAAACACAACTTACATATTTTTTTTAATTTCTTTTTACCTTTTCCCAAATTTAAAAAATAATAATAATATTTTTAGGTAAAAGATATACGTAGTAGTGTTGTTAAACTGCTCGATTTGAGCCCAATGGCTAACTCAATATTTAAGCCAGAAAAATATTCCCTAAGCCTCGAGATTTCGCTAATAGATGTCCAAACCTTTGTGTCAGCTAGTGTTGTTAAAACGCCGCGAGTCGCGACCCCGACTCAAAGTTCGGGTCGTTTTTCGACTCCGGCTCAATGTTTGGGTCGTTTTTTCGACCTCGACCCGAGTCCAAGCCGAAAAAAACGACCTCGACCCAAAATATGGGTCGTTTTTTCGACTTCGAGTCCAATTTTGGGTCATATTTTTCGACTCCGACTCGAAGTTTGGGCCGTATTTTTCGACTCAGACTCAAAGTTTGGTTTGTTTTTGCGACTCAGACTCAAAGTTTGGTTTGTTTTTGCGACTCAGACTCAAACATCGGGTCGCTTTTTACCACTTCAACCAAAGTTGTGGTGGTTTTATTCAATCCGACCAAAAATATGGGTCTTTTTTTAAAAAGACGACCTAAGGTTTGGGTTGCTTTTTTCATCTGACCTGACCCAATATCTACATTTTTTCGTCCAAAAGGCTTCTAAGTGTTGACTCCAACTCCAATAAATATATAAATATAAATAATATTTATTAGATATTATTAATATAAATGGGCGGGAAAAGTTACCTAAAGCTTCTATAAATCTAATCAATGGAGAATGGCAATTGTCATCGTTATTTTTAAAAATTTTTTTGATATAAATTTGTAAAAATATATGTTGTAAATATGTTAAATTAAAATTTCAATTAAGATATACCATAGAAAAATCACAATTGTCATAATCGTTATTTTTGAACTCTTTCGATTTTTTCAAAGCAAATATGTAAAAATATATATTGTAAACATGTTAAATTAAAATTTTAGTGAAGATGTACCATGGAAAAGTAATAATAGCCATTGTAATTTTTTTAAAATATTTTTAAGAAAATGGTTAAGATATAAATTGTAAATAATTTTATTATAATTTCAATGAATATGTGCCATATAAAAGTGACAATAGTCATAAATATTTTTATACTCTATTAAATCCAAAAGGAAAAATCTATATTTCATTATAGATGAACCCTAGAAAAAGATTCATGAAGCAAACTATCTCATATAAATACTTCTTCAAAATCAGAAAACTGATATTATATAAATTTAGGGTTTCAAAGCGTGTTGTTATAAGGATTACCGTAATTTATAAAGTAAAGTAGCGTTCTATTAAACACTTTTACATTACCTCATAAAAAATATTTATTGAAACATCAATAAAAATATTAATATGAATTTTTTTTTAGATTTATAATATAACGTCTATAGTATTTTTATTTCAAAAAGAATTTTTTATCTAGCTATCCTGTTAGGTATAGTATTATTTAGCGTTACCATTAGACTATTAAGTTGTTTATGGATTTAGTCTAATTAATAAATTCTACTTGAAACTTGTGGGTGAACAAACATCCAGATAATAATTTTTAAAATAGATGATCAAATGAGATGTCAATATTAATATATTTTTTGTAATTTTTAATACAATTCTTAAACATCTTATAGCCGGAGACTGTGCCAGAAAACCAATTATCACATAAACTTATCTAGTTTTGTTTCATATTTTATTTTATAGATTAACGATTGGCTACACATTAATGTTGTAATTTAAATATTTCCTCGTTGAAGCAACTAGTTTTGATAGAACCTATATTCTTCTTAATAAAACAAAGTGAATCCCAGTTACAATTTATTGTGTAATTTTTCTAAATATTCAAAATTCAATTTTTTTTACAAACTAAAGTTAATATAAAAAACTATTTTAGTTAAAGTCAATTATTATTAAAACACGAATGTTCTCCAGTATTCATAAAAAACAACAGTTTGAAACAAGAACCCTTACTATGCTCAAAACATCTAAAATCTTTGATAGCTTTATAGTTTAAATATTTTTATTTAATTATATATGATATTTATTAATATACAAAAATTTATATTTTTCTATAAATATATACATATAAAAATTATGTCCAGAATTGATTGTTCATTATATTCGTATTCCAAAAATTTAGACATAAACATTGTTTAAACGTCTCTGAGGCCAAACGATTTCTTTTTTAGTAATGGTGTCCACCCCTCTCGAGAAAACGCGCTCGCTTGCAACAGATGTGCTCTGTTGCGATAGAAAATCCTTCGCCATTATGGAAAGGTAGGGAAAACGCATGGAATTACTTCTCCACCAATCCAATACTATAGTCGAGGCTGAGGCGACTGGATCAGCTAGGTATTCCGCGATCTCGTCAACCATCGGAATTAAGCAAGCTTTGCTAAAACATATAATAAATTTTTTTTAAAATTAAATATATCTACTCTTTGAGAACATTTAAAAAAAGTTGTAGTATAATGAAAAAATATATACCTTCTGAGACTTTTTAAAATAGTCGTTGACATCATTTCGGGCACCTGATTAGAACGGTATTTACCATATAAAACAATCAACTTTTCGTAATAGCACACTTTATTCATCCAAATAGGTATAAAAGTTTTTTTGATCCGAGGATTAAAAAACTACATAGATAAATCTCAAAAGTATCCATAATATTAATATATTTTTGGCATTTAACCGACATAAGTCGAGCCGCTTCAACGTATTATTATTGTTAGTATCAATATTTGATACCAACAATGCTTGTTGTATCCAGATATAAAAGATACATGCCTATTGTTGAAGAATTTGAACTTATTTCACACGTAATTTTATAAAAAGGGTGCAAAAATTCTTCAATATCCTTCAACAATTTTACCTCTTCAGTATTTATGAAAAAACTGTCATTGATACATTGCCCAATTTTTTAATGGCTTCTATATTCTATAGAATTAAATATTTTATGCTATTAATACCTTATTGATTTTATTTAGCATGAGATATTTGGAATTCCATCGAGTTGATACATCTAATGGAATTTTGCATTTACAGTTTTCAACAAAATCCTGCATCAAAGAAGGACTTTTATGAATTTTTTTCACCAACAGCTCAACTTTTTCCATATCTGTTGAGATAGGTGATAGTCCTTCTTGTACAATAATAATAATAATATGGGCAAGGCATCGTATAGTATTAAAATTAGATTTATATGTTTCCCAAATTAAAGGAATGATCAGTTTTGCTGCCAAAACTATATTTGATCCATTATCATGGGTAATGGAGGATACTTTATCAATTAGTTTATACTCCGCCAGTATTGTTATTATCAATTCTTTAACATCCTCACCTGTGTGAGGATGGGCAAATTCCACTATTGATAATAGGGAGTTGACTAAATCCCATTTACCGTTTATATAATGGACCGTTATGGCGCAATATTTATAAAAATGTAAAATATTGGGGATTTTTTAGGATTTTAGTTTTAATATCAAATTCCACATACCTTAAAAAAATATTATATCGTTGGTTAGATTTGTTTTGCTCCACTCAGGTTTTTAAAAATTTTTAAGCTTCCAACATAGAAATTTTTAAAATAATCGAATGGGGGTAGGGTTTAGAATAAAATTTCTTTTGGTTGATTTAATAATTTATATAATATATTTTAGCCAATTTGCGCAAACATCTTGTAAGATCCTGAAGCAGTTAATGATTCACCACCTTTGCCAGATTCCATTATAGGGGCACGAAAACTTACAACGGAGAATAATTTTCATTTAAATAAATTAATACTAAAATTTGTCATCAACGACAATATTTCTTTTAGAACCTATGATAGTATCTTTACATATTTGAACAAAAGCACCAAAATCTGGTGCAAACAAACTGCTGTGAAATACTTAAATAGAATATATAACCAGGCAAAATGCAATATATTAAATATCTTCGACAACTATAAAAACAAGATGGCAATAACGACCGATATATGGACCAGTAATAATTCAATTAGTTATTGCGCCATAACGGTCCATTATATAAACGATAAATGGGATTTAGTCAACTCCCTATTATCAATAGTGGAATTTGCCCATCCTCACACGGGTGAGGATGTTAAAGAATTGATAATAACAATACTGGCGGAGTATAAACTAATTGATAAAGTATCCTCCATTACCCATGATAATGGATCAAATATAGTTTCGGCAGCGAAACTGATCATTCCTTTAATTTGGGAAACATATAAATCTAATTTTAATACTATACGATGCCTTGCCCATATTATTAATATTATTGTACAAGAAGGACTATCACCTATCTCAACAGATATGGAAAAAGTTGAGCTGTTGGTGAAAAAAATTCATAAAAGTCCTTCTTTGATGCAGGATTTTGTTGAAAACTGTAAATGCAAAATTCCATTAGATGTATCAACTCGATGGAATTCCAAATATCTCATGCTAAATAAAATCAATAAGGTATTAATAGCATAAAATATTTAATTCTATAGAATATAGAAGCCATTAAAAAATTGGGCAAGCAATGTATCAATGACAGTTTTTTCATAAATACTGAAGAGGTAAAATTGTTGAAGGATATTGAAGAATTTTTGCACCCTTTTTATAAAATTACGTGTGAAATAAGTTCAAATTCTTCAACAATAGGCATGTATCTTTTATATCTGGATACAACAAGCATTGTTGGTATCAAATATTGATACTAACAATAATAATACGATTGTTGAAGCGGCTCGACTTATGTCGGTTAAATGCCAAAAATATATTAATATTATGGATACTTTTGAGATTTATCTATGTAGTTTTTTAATCCTCGGATCAAAAAAACTTTTATACCTATTTGGATGAATAAAGTGTGCTATTACGAAAAGTTGATTGTTTTATATGGTAAATACCGTTCTAATCAGGTGCCCGAAATAATGTCAACGACTATTTTAAAAAGTCTCAGAAGGTATATATTTTTTCATTATACTACAACTTT